GTTGCGACCCAGAAACTGATAGCTTTTGGTCTATCATGAATGCAATATTTGGATGGAGAAATCAAGCTACTGTTGATACAACTGTTAGCTATTTTGTTTATTGGCTTTTCGTCATTATTACCGCTGTGATAATCATACTCCGTTCAAGGAAACCCGATAACAACGACACAACCGAACAAACCGATACAATTGAACAAATCGATATTAACGAAAAAGTCGCTACGCAATTAAATTCTGTTTAATACTTTTATTATCATAAAACCTATCTCTTTTCCCACGATATAATAATGCATTACATCATTATATATTTTTCAAAAAAAAATCTAATCATTATTATTAAGTGAAAAAACACCATTAATTATCGTTTATTATATTTTATTAAGCAAAAAAAAAAAAACAAAAAAAAAAAAGAAAAAAAAAAAGAAAAAAAAAAACCACATTAATTATTTTTGTTATATTAACTTATAACTTATATTATAAAAACCCCTCCATAACCTTATAAGTTTTGTCCGGAGCGTGGCGGACATTTAATGTTTATACGAAAGTTACGTTATTGATGCAGCAATAATTATTTTTTGTTTAACTGTAAAATAATCAGTTATTTTATATTGTCGCATCAAAAAAAATGTAATTTTGAAAATTCATATCTGTCCGAACATGTGGCTTTAGTACAACAAACTAAAGTTTATTTATAGGCTTCGGACACACATTAACCTAGTTACATACGTACAAGCTAGCTTTTAACTCTGTTATCCGGATTTTTAATATGATATGTATTTTTAGGCGCCTAGTTATATTTATATTCAAAGATTAAAAAATATAAGAAGCTTTCAAAATATTCATGACTAACATAAATATTGAGGATTAAAAAATGTTTCAAATCACATACGTAATTCTACCGTTCGGACCGATGCTGGGCAGATTTAGTAGGAATCATTAGAACAGATTCATGAAGTCAATCATTAGCAGCAGTGTTGTTACGTATCACTTCATTGAAGTTTAGTGCAGACACCTTTGTTTCACAATCAGTTCATAGACAAGTCTATTTTAAAGACAATTAAATTTACAGACAGTTCGTATCATAGACAGTTCATTTCATAGAACATTTCATTTTGTAGACAATCTTTAACGCTGATTCAGAAGTAATTTGCTATTAAAAATTGTCTATAAAAAATGAACTGCCGATAAAATGAACTGCCGATAAAATGAACTATCTATAAAATGAACTATCTATAAAACTGTAAAATGAACTGTCTCTAAATTAATTGTCTTTAAAATAAACTTTTCTATAAACTGAATTTCCTGTGAAACAAGGTGCCTGTAATAAACTTTTATGAAGTGATACGTAACCGTACATTTTGACTGTCCCAAGCCTTTTTCTCTTGTTCGTCCGGAATACCCCAACTTTGTCCTATCAATGTCTTAATTTTTAATTAGAAAGGTTGTATTAAGACAATAATGAAAAATACGCATATCCATGGATATTTGGAATTACTATTTAAAATTTCAAAATCTTTAACCATGAATAACTTTTGATTTACTGGTCTGTTTGGAATGATTTACTGTCAAAATTATTACCTCAATGAGATGATCCTAACGAGCCCAAAATCATTAAAATTCAATTATGAAATCCCAGGATTATTAAAATTCTAAAATCTCAAGATTATTAAGAATTTGTATTACTTCAGGGTTTTACTACAAAATATCAGGAGCTATTCTTTTTTCATTAATAATATAGCCTAGAAAAATAAGAATTTCATTTAAAAATTACACTTTTTTATATTAGTATATTTTTATTAGGTTAGTTACACAAATTACTATTTATAGTTTAGTATAAATTACATGGTTTAAATCTATACTATTAGTTTCCTTAGTAAATTTTTGACCATTTTGAATCTAGATACATATATATTTTTTTTTTAATATTAAGGTGACCACTTAGGCCATTGGCACGAGCTTTATTCAGGTAGTTATGATATTATATCCAT